GCTTTGAAGTCTGTCCTGGAACTCGCTCTAATTTTTTAAAAAAATTATTTATTTATTATATACACTGTGTTCTGCCTGCATATATGTCTGCACACCAGAAGAGGGGTCCCTGATCTCATTATAGATGGTTGGGAGCCACCACGTTAATGCTAGGAATCGAACTCAGAACCTCTGGAAGAGCATCCAGTACTCTTAACTCTGAGCCATCTCTCCAGCCCAAGCTTTTAATTTTAAAAAGTAGTCAAATTGACCACCGATTTTCCTCTGTGGTTTGTATTCTGTGTTGTCTGCAAAACTTCCTTACTCTCCCAGTCATGAAGATATTCTCCTATAATATTTCAAAAACCTATAATATTTTCAAAATATTTTAAAGTTTGAATTTTTATAATTGTGACTTAAAACATTTTTTCAACAAATGGAATAAACTAAAAAGCTCTTTGCCTTTCTTCATACTGCTGGTAAATGGTTCTACTATAATTGTCTGAAAATGCATTCGTTGAGATCAGGCTGTACACTACCCTAAGTTACTTATATTATATAAAACAGTGGTTTTTTAGACTGTGCATTGCTTTGTACAGACTCCATTTTGCAAGCAGCATTTCACTCTATACTTTGGTGGACATGTACACAACACCATCTGTCCAGTCCCAACCACAAAGAACAGACTGATAAACAACTCATTCCTAAAGTAGAAAGGACACTACCCTAGAAATAAAACCACATCAGATAGATAATAGAGATAGATAGATAGATAGATAGATAGATAGATAGATAGATAGATAGATAGATAGACAGACAGACAGACAGACAGACAGACAGACAGACAGACAGACAGACAGACAGACAGACAGACAGACAGACAGACAGACAGACAGACAGACAGACAGACAGACGATAGGTAGATCAGGCTCAAGAACTTGTCAGACATACCAGACTGATAAAAGAGTATAACTGTCTCACCTGAATCATATAAACAAGGGGACACAACACTGTAACAGTATTGGTCCCACCAACCTGTTGCCTAACTACCAGTGTATATCCAAGATGGACAGGTAGATAATTCATGATGTCCCCCAGAGACTTCAGCTCAGTTCCATTCTCACTAGCCTTCTTGAATTGCTATCTGTCCATCCCCCTGTTCATCTGTCTGGACCCAGTTCTGCCCTTTGCCTCTATAGCTTCCACTATACCTCATTTCTGCAGCTCAACTTGGGCCCTGAAGACTGACTCAGCAGCAATTTGTTATCCCATAGACTCTTCATCTCTGTCAGTTCTGCCTCTCAGGCCTCTTTGAAATTCCTTTAATTCTGCTATGGCTGTTTTAATCCCTTTGAAACTATTACATAATATACATATATAGAGATTTACTGTGTGGTATGTAATGAAAGCTCTGGTCTGTCTGAGAGTTAATATTAGTAAATAAAAATTCAATAAAATAACTTGTATTTGCCTCAGCTAAATCTAGCAAGAAGAATGGGACTGCTCAAAAAAAAATGTTGCCAACAAAACTGCCATACCTTGTGAATTTATTATTACTCAATAAATTTGGTATGGAAAAATGCCACAAATGTGATTATGTTTCTGACATAGCACACTCACAACATTATTCATTAAGCCGTAATATTTAACTGGGAAATATGCTGCTATGGTTCTTACTAAAAACTATCTTGGCTCTTCTTGTCATTTTGTTTTAATATATGCTCTCCTTGTGTTTCAGAAGCACACCCCCAGGGTCTTTTCTACTTAGAGCTAATGAGTAAGTCTAAACTTGAGTATGTTCTCTGAATTGAGCCCTTAGCATCCCTTGTCAGGCACTTTGCTCAAGAGGAATCCTGCATCCTATCCATACAGGGTGGAGATTAAGGAGATACTAATGATGGAGTGGCAAAATCAGAATTTCATTTTTCAAGCCACCTCCTTTGCCTGCCCCAAAGGCATTTTTATTAAAGAATAGTCACTGTTCTCACCAAAATTCAATCTAGTCAAATAATGCCATGTTTATCCTTCCAGAAGAAAAGAGTAATGGAATGAACAAATAGAAGAAAAGAAATATTTTTACGTGTGATGGAAAGGATTCATGCTGCTAATTTTTTTATTAAAAACATGCTCCAAAGACACAAGTTTACATTGTTAAGGGAGGTACCTTTGTAGATCTACAAGTATAGAGGTATGAAGTGATCATTTTTAAATGATTTTAACCATTGAAATGTTAATATTAATTTTTAAATTGTTTTAAATTTTTAAAGAAACTTTTAATAATTATTATATAAATTTTTAAAAGTCTTTTCATTTAAAAAATACAAATATGTACCATTAGGGAGAGCACAGCAGTTTTTGCAAAAATTGCTAGTGAACAATAGCTTTTTAAACACTGCCACCTACTGTCCACATTCAGCTTCCTCTGAAATGATAAGGACCACAGAAATAAAAATAATCAGGCCATTCTGACTTCCAAATCAGTTTAGCATTTTTATTCAACAGGCCAGATTTCACATATTCGGGCAATTTCAACTATACAACTGTTGGGCTTCATTAAAGCAAATCCCAGGCATTTGAACACTACGCTCATCAGTAATACACACAACCCTAGAGCAGGCAGAATTGGATTTGGGCAGCACAAACAATACAGTAGCAACATTAAGAAATATCAGTAGAGACAAGAATCCCATGATGACATGTGTAACTTTAGAATGATATAATCAGTCTTATGTTTTAATTAAAAAATTCAAGCAAGAATGACAAACTTCTATAAAAGAAATGAACTTTGTTTTATACCCACACAAATTCACAACTAATAGATGACTTTTGCTTGTAAATGATCTGTTGACTAGACTTTCTGACTACTTGCTTTGCTTCTGGACTTCTGCTGGTGCAAATATGAATAACAATAAATGAAAGAAAGTGGCCAAAACAAATCTCAGGTAGAGCTCTTCAACATCCTCTAATCACAAAGTTCCTGTCAACCCTTGTACTGGCCAGTTTTCTGTTAGTGTGACACAAGCTAAGTCGTATGGGAAGTAAGAACCTCAACTGAAAAACTTCCCCACCAGATTGGCCTGTGTGCAAGTCTGTGATGAAATGCAAATGTTACGAAGAATTAAACCCTTTCCTCCCCATGTTCTAATCATGATATTTCATCACAGCATTTCAAAATGACTATCAAAGTATGGAAGGTGATGAATCATTTTATATTAAACCAATAAGTCTAGAGGATTTATCATATAGTGATTTATACAATATCAGTTTTCATGATATAAGTATATGTATATGTATATATATGTATATATTCATATATGTATATATTTTGATCATATTTACCTGTAGCACAATTTCCTAACCCTTCTCGGTGATCCTTATTCCTCTTTCCAAATAGCCTCTCTTCTGCTTTCAAGGTCTTAAAATTCTAGATTCAACATGTGAGAGAAGTACAGTATGTGTCTTTCTGAGTCTTATTTTTTTGAGACATAATAACCAGTTTATTATAGGTCCGGCAGAGTAGAGAGAATAAGAAAGAAGAGAAACAGGGTTAATGGCTGACCGCCATGGCCGGTTGCCTAGAGAGAGACAGAGAGAGCGCATGTAGGTGGGAGAAGAGAAGAGCAGAGGAGGAGAGAGTAGAGAGGAGGAGTAGAGAGCCTGAGTCTTATTTTTTAACATATGATCTCTAATTTTATCTATTTTCTTACAACTGACATGCTTTCTTTCTTTATAGTTAATTAAAACTTAATTGTGTCTCTACACTACATTTTCATTATCTCTTCAGATGTTGATGGTCAAACTATGCTGATTCCATGGCAAGGCTATTGTGAATAGTGCAGTAATACCCTTTATCAGATATCTCTAACATATATTGACTTTGATCCATTTGGCACAGACTCAGGAGTGGTATAGCTGGATCATATGTTATTTCTACTTTTAAGTTTTTGAGATACTGCCCTTATTAATTCCCAAAGTAGCCCAAAAAGTTTATATTCTCATCAAAAGTGTATTAGTTTCCCTCTGCTCCCTGTCCCCAACTTCCCACTAAAGTGTTTTGTTGCTTATTTTCTTAAGGATAGTCATTCTGACAGGGGAAGGCAGAATCTCGATGCAGGTTTGATTTGCATTTCTCTGGTGGCTAAAAATGTTTAACATTTTTAATGTAAGAATCTTGGGTTTTAAAACTATTTTCTATTAAATAGTTGTGTAGCCTCAGGTCCCTTAACCATTCAGGACACTGTGCAGATATTAAAGTTGTCAGGAGATGGTAATGAAGAGAAATAGAGATAAATGAGAGGGGTTTTATTGCAGACTGCCTTGCCCCATTCCTCCCTAATCCCCTAACCCTACCACTAACCCTACCATTTGATCCACCCATTTTCCTCTTAGCTGAGAACTACTAGGCTATACAATTTTTCTCCGAGGCCTTTTCTTCATTAAATTACACAATTTGAGGCCATTATGGTGACACACATACTTGTAAGCCTGGAACTCAGAAGATGGAGACAAGAGGATCAGGAGTGCAAGATCATCCTCAGAAAAACATAGATGGTTCAGGGCCAGCATGGTCAACATGAGACCCTTGCTCAGCGGTTAAGAGCAATTGCTCCTCTTCCTAGAAGTCCTGAGTTCAATTCCCAACAACCATATGATGGCTGACAACCATCTGTAATGGAATCTGATTCCCTCTTCTGGTGTGTATGAGATAGGTCACTCATATGCATAAAATAAATAAATACTGTTTTAAGAACTACAGAATTTGAGAACTGGAAGAAAACTTAAGGTTCCACAATAATAACTGAAGGTCCAGAAAATCCTTTGATCATAACTATAGTTAAATATAAATGTGATTAATTTAATATAATTCAGAGAAGAAATACAAATAGCCAATAAATCTATGTAAATGTCCAATTTAGGTACTTAATAGTTCTGTTCAGCAGTCTCTGTGGCTTTGGAAGAAGGAATACAGATTTGTCACAGAAGAAAAAGGTTGCACTAAGGATTGCATGGGGTTGAAATACCTGTGATGGAACAGTAGATGATGTGAGGAGCAATCTTGTCTATATCTTCATACCCAAGGCCCATCTCAGAAAGTTTGCCAGGGACATAGTTTTCCACAAATACATCACAAATGGCTGCAAGCTGAAGGAAGAGGTAAAGATTAATCAGATTTTTTTTTCTTGAGGGACTTCCAAACCTTCAACAACTTTCCCCACATAATAGAATTTTAATTTTAATAAAATTCTCACATTGTAAGAATCCAGAAAAAATCACATGTGTATGCAAGCATAAAGGCTCTGATAATTACTTGAACTGTCAGGAAAACAATGGTTACAATATTTTTGTAAATGTATAGATTAATATAGATTCCATACCTTTCAAATGTAAGAATATATGTTCATTTACTGAACATAGTCTGTCCAAATGTATTCTCAGAAGAATAAGTAAAAATAAAATATCAGTACATAAAATTATTTAGTAATTCCTTAAAACCATTACCAAAAACTCCTAAATATAATATCATCATTATACTCTATCCTTATTCTGTAATAGTTCTAATTACACTATATTCTGCCTCTTACATATTCCACCATATCCCAAAGTTGTCATACTGAGGACTAAGCTTCCAAAACAGGAACTCTGGGGCCACAATCAACCCATATCAAAATAATAGCAGATAAAGACAGAAAAGCTGAATGTGTGCAACTGAAATATCATGCTATAAAAGTATCCTTTCCAAATCTCAGGATAAGTTGATAGGCGTCTTATATGGGTGAGTAGTAGAGCATATTCCAGGAGTATTATTCTATTGCTATGATTAAATACTCTCAGCAAAATCAACTTAGTGGAGTATAGGGTTTATTTTGGCTTATACTTCCAGGTACAATCTATCATTAAGGAAAGTCATGGCAGGAACTCAAGAAGAAACCATGGAAGAAGGCTGCTTACTGACTTACTTTCTGGTTCATGCCCAGGCAGCTTTCTTCTACAGCCAAGACCCCACCTGCCTAGGGATAGTACCACCCATAGTGGGGAGAGCCCTCCCACTTCAATTGCCAATCAAGACAGACTGTCATAGACAAAGCTACAGGCCAATCTGATCTGGGCAATTCCTCAACTGAGGTTTTCTCTTCCTAGATGATGGCAACCACCACACCAGATGAGTCTCGAAGTGAGGGCATTTATTAATGTTGATGATTTCACCAAACACTTCTTAGGAGAATGGAAGGAAAATATTGCTATTAAATGAACACACTTTAGTTACATCTTAATTTATTCTACAAATTTTGTTGATCCGTTACTTACAAAGCAGCCCTTGCAGGTATTGTTAAAAAGAAAAACCCACTACCAAGTATATCTATCTAGGCTTACTGTATTGATTATCTCTGTTGCATTTGTACTACATAATAATTAACATAATTTTATTATGTAAATACTATTAAGTATTTTATTTTTAAAACACTACAGGGGGCTGGGTGGTGGTGGCACATACCTTTAATCCCAGCACTCAGGAGGCAGAGGCAGGCAGATCTCTGTAAGTTTGAGACCACTCCGGTCTACAAGACCTAGTTCCAGAACAGCCTCCAAAGCCACAGAGAAAACCTGTCTTGAAAAACAAAAAAAAAAAAAAAAAACAGAAAGAAAGAAACAGAGAAAGAAAGAAAGACAGAGAGAAAGCAAAAGAAAGAAAGAAAGAAAGAAAGAAAGAAAGAAAGAAAGAAAGAAAGAAAGAAAGAAAGAAAGAAAAATACAGGGTGTCAGAGGAGATAAGTCAGCAGTTAACAGCACTCTGCTACACTTCTAGAAGACCCAGGTTCAAGTGCTAGCCTCCACATGGCAGATCACAATCATCTACAGCTACAATCCCAGGGGAATCCAAGACTTTTGTCTGGCTTCTACAGGCAGCTTATATATACAGTGGACATTCAAACATACAGGCAAGACACCAATACATATAAAATAATAAACAATAATCATTAAAATTGTTTAAATCCCCTCCCAAAAAAACAACTACCTGAGTTTGATCTCCAGAGCTTACAGGGTGGAAGGAGACAACTGACTCTCACAAATGATTCTCTGACATCCATATATGCTTCTCTGTGGCACTCATGCACCCACAATAAATAATAGATAGGTAGATGATAGAGATAGATAGATAGATAGATAGATAGATAGATAGATAGATAGATAGATAGATAGATAGAATGATAGATAGAATGAACAAAATGCAAAATGTTTGGCCATTTTTGTTGAAAATAGATTCTTCTCTTATACAATACATCCTGACAACAGTTTCCCCTCCCTCCACTCCTCCCAACTTCCCCCCAACCTCCCCTCTCCCATAAATCTACTCCCCTTCCTTTCACATTCAGAAAAAAGCAGGCCTCCAAGAGACAGCAACCAAACACAACAAAACAGGGCACAATACAGCAAGGTAAAAGCCCTCATACCGAAGCTGGATAAACAGTCCAATAGAAAAAAAAGAGTCCCAAGTGCAGGCAAAAGAGTCAGAGACAAAATTGCTCCCACAGTTTGGGAGTCCCACAAAAACACCAAGATAACAGTCATAATATATAGGCAGAGGACCTGGTAATGACCCATGCAAGCCCCATGTTTGCCACTTCAGTCTCTGTGAGTCCTTATGAGCTCTGCTTAGTTGACTCAGTGGGCCAAATTCTCCTGGTATCCTCCATCCCCTGTGACTCCTACAGTATTTCCTTCCACTCTTCAGTGGAATTCCCTGAGCTCTGAGGTGAGGGACCTGATGGAGACTGCCCCTAAATTGGAGAATTTAGACTCTCTCTCTGGAAAATGTCTAGCTGTGTGTCTGTATCCATCCCGTCTACTCCTGGAGGAAGCCTCTGTGATGATGACTGGACAAGACACTGATCTGTGAGTATAGCAGGATATCATTAGGATCATCTCATTGATTTTTTTTACCAGTCCTGTTTCATTATGCCCTAAGTCTCTGGATTATCTGGTCTCCAGTTCCTGGGTATCCAGGCAATGCAGGGCATGGAATCCCTCTCATGGCATGGGTCTCAAGTTAAACTAGACATTGCTTGGCCACTTCCACAAGTTCAGTGCTACCACTGTGATGGGGGATGACCTTCTGTATATGTGTTTCTCTTATTCACTGTCTAACCAATGAAGCAGGAAGATAGACAGGACTAGAATGAGGAGAATACTGGGAAAGGGAGGCAGAGAGAGCCTGTCAAAGACAGTTGCCATGTAGGCTACCAAAGGAGTAGCAGATCTGGGCATTCTCCAGTAAGCTAAGACCATGTGGAAATATATAGATTAATAGAAATGAATTAATAATTAAGACAGAGCTAGCCAATGAGAAGCCCTAATCATCAGCCAACAATTTTATAATTAATATAGCATCTGTGTGTTTATTTGAGGCTAAGAAGGGTAGCCAGACCTGGAGGGACAAGAAAACTTTCATCAACACCATTGTCCCAGCAAATCTTGCATGCAGGATAGATTGTAGGTCAAGCATTTTGTTACTAGATTAGTGTCCAGTCACACTAACCTCTCTGTAGCCTTCAGAGTACCTTTCCATGTCAAAGATACTAGAATGTAGGGGTGAAAGCTCCATGTAGATACCAGTTTGACCTCTCCATGTTCAATGAGCAATGTAGATATTGTCCTCAGCAATGAGGTCACACTATTAGTTTTCGGAGAGCAATCCTCTGTCCTACAATCAGCCTGAATTGTTTAAGGATTTCATTGGGACCTCATCAGCCAACAACTCATCCAAATATAACCCAGTTCCACCACTGGAAGCCTTGCCTGACTACAAAAGATGACAGTTCAGACAGTTCTACATCCTCCATTACTAGTCCTAACAGGGTCACCTTCATAGATTCCAGAAGGTTTCCACTGAACTAGATTTCCACAACACTCCTCAAGTACCTTCCTCAATTAAAGATGATGCCTATTGCATTCTCTCCCTCCATACTTTCCCCCTCAACCTGATCCCACCTGTCCCCCTCCTCTGCACACCCAGTCCACCCATAAAATCTATTATATTTCCATTTACCTGGTGTCCCCCCCCCCCAGAGTAGCTGCTCTTTACCTAACATCTCTGGGTCTGTAGAATGTAGCTTGATTATCATTTACTACTGGCTAGTAGCCATTTATAAGGGAATACATATTTGTCTTTCTGAGTGTGGGTTACCTCACTCACTCTCATTTCATGATGTCATGTTTTAACTAGCTGAATAATATGTCATTGTGTGGATGTTGTTTTTTTAATCCTTTCTTCAGTTGAGGGACACCTAGGTTGTTTCCAGTTTTGTATTATTATGACTAAAACACAAATGAACATGGTTGATCAAGTGTCCTTTTGGTGGCCCTCCTTTGGGTATATGCCCAAAAGTGATATAGCTGGATCTTGAGGTAGAACAATTAACAGCCTCTGAGGAACCACCATATTGATTTCCATAGTGGTTGTACAAGTTTGCACTCTCACCAGTACTGGATGAGTGTTCCTCTTATTCTATATCATCACCAGTAGAGCTCACTTGTGTTATTGGTTTTAGCCATTCTGATAGGTGTAAGATGGAATCTCAGCTGAGTGGTGGTGGCACACACCTTTAATCCCAGCACTTGGGAGGCAGAGGCAGGCGGATCTCTGTGAGTTCGAGACCACCCTGGTCTACAAGAACTAGTTCCAGGACAGCCTCCAAAGCCACAGAGAAACCTTATCTTGGAAAAAAAAAAAAAGATGGAATCTCAAAGCAGCTTAATTTGCATTTCCCTGGCTAAAGACATTGATGTTCTTCCTCTATTGCCATTTGTAATGGGATTATTTAGGGTTTGTTGTTGTTGCTGTTGTTGTTGCTGCTGTTGTTTTGGTATCTAGTTTCTTGGTCCTTGGAATTGATGAAAAATCTTTTCCCATTCTATAGGCTGCCACCTTTTCAGAATGACTATTCTTTGCCTTACAGAAGCTTTTCAGTTTCATGAGGTCCCATTTATTGGTTGTTGATTTTAGTGCTTGTGCTATTGGTATGATATTCAGAAAGCCTTCTCCTGTTCCAATGTGTTCAAGACAATTTGCCACTTTCTCCTCTATCTGGTTGAATGTTATCTGGTTTTATGTTGAGGTCTTTGATTTACTTGGACTTGAGTTT